TAATTCTTGTCCCAGTAGGATTCCTTTTCCAAATAATAAATGTATTAAACATAGTGACATTTAATAATCTTCTGATTGTTTTCATACTCCATTTCTTGCTTTATTCTTTTCAATAAGATATATTTACAGGTACTGATCTTTCAGATCTACCCCTCCCATAGATTTATTGTAATCAAGAACGCACCCATGATTTTTAATTTCTTCTTTTCTCTTTGTAATGTCTTTTTTTTTAAATTCATCTTTGTGGTAGGCGCTTATCATAAAAACAGCCTTTTTATCAATCCATTTCAACATTGAAGTGAGCCCGAGTGTTGGGCAATGTACTCGCCTCGCTTCCGTTTCTTTTGTCGCAATATTATAAGAACATTTTTTCTGTTCAAACGTAATGTTCCTAAACAATCTGTTCCCATTTCTTTTTTAACATCACAGCTAATGAGGGCAAGTTGTAGTAATTGTCTATCCATAAAGTGTGGCCCTTATTTAACAACGGCTGTTTTAAAATTTAAGGCACTTTCTATCCTTTTATGTATAGTATATCTGATAGTCGCAATAATTTCATATGATTCATAGTACATAGACATATTGTAAATTAATTGCTTCTTGAAAACAAGAAATAGAAACACTTGAATAGATATTAAAATATTTGTATTAAAAAACATGAAAAGAATCCGAAAACTTGCCATTACACACTGTTTGACTGTGCGCGGCACTGCTAAGCGACCAGCGTTTGCAGACGGCACACAGCAAATGAGAAGGAGGACAGGAAAAGGACCCTTCTTTCCTGAGATGGCTTACTGCGAATGGAAAGGAAAATTCAACCTGTCCAGGTGTGGCATCTAATCTTTCTCAGTGATTGGGTTTAGAATGCATTAGTACTTCTATCAATGTCATTTTTTAAAATTTGCATCTCTAGCAAAATGCATATTCGTATTGGGTGTTGAATGATACTTTTATTGTCTTTGCAAGCTTATTGTTTTGACATTTATGTGTTTCATGACATGGAAAGGCAAAGTAATGTACCCAACTAAGCTTAATCTGTGAATGTAAGATAACCCATATTCTTCGAAATAGATACCATTTAGGAAAATTCTCTTACTCTCGGATACTGTACATGGAGGAACTGATTGATAACATCCCTATTTTATGGGCATAGTTTGATATTTTGGGTATATTTAAGTGATACCAAGTGAACCAAATGCATCTTTATTTCATGATATGAATGTGAATATAAATATGCTCTCTAATCACCACCTGATGATTTGACTGTTCAAGGAGTTGACCATTCTGACAAAACATTTATTTAAAAGGTAATTTAGTGTTTTCTTATGGGAAAACAGAGAAGAACTTTTTCATTAAAGCATTTAGAAGCTGAACGTCCCAGTAATTTATAATTAGGTAGAGGATTTTTATGCCCAAAATATTGAAATGTGTACATCAATATGCAATAAAAATTTATAAAATTTCATTTTCTATATAATTCTTTCTTGATGAAGTTCAAGAACAGCAGGCTTGGAATGAAAAGATAAATTTGTGAGGAAAAAAATTATATTATCTACCTTACTTCACGGGAAAAATAATTGATGTAAATATTTATCTTAGTGAAGTACATTAATGTGTTGTATTTCTTCTGCCTGGTTTAAAAAGTATGATATCAAGAAATATCCTACATTTGCACAAGTATCGTCTTTAGAAAAGAAGAAGAAGAAAAAAACAGAAACACAAACATTGACAAGCTCTTTCTAATCAATGAATGCTCACCAATAAATAGATTCTATGAGAAGATGAGAGATGTTTTAGAGATAAATATCTAATTTAACAAAATATGTTAAATAATAACATATGCATATCATCACAGGAATATGCACCAACAGGAAAAATCAGCAAAAAAACACACAAATATATAAATTCATATAGCAACCAATTCTAACCAAATGTCAAAAAAATTCACTAAGCTCTTATACCTTGAAACAATGGACAAAATTAAGCAAAATCATAGAAGTTCACTCCTTATTTATAATTAAAGTTTCTTTGATTGATAACTGCAAATTCCCTACTTGTAATCCTATATGAGGTACCAGTTGAGATCTTGCATGCAGCATCGAACTCTGGTTCTCATTTAATTCCTCATAGATTTTTTTCAACTATTACTTAGAAAATGCAAACGATCAACTCAAAATCACACAAATGATTGATATTAAAAAAATATGTGTACATGAAATATTTTAAATAATTTGAACTTTATGAATATTTGTCTCAAAATTGGGTGAAAATTTCTAACACTTTCAAAATCATATAATGATATAATTCAAAGATCTTTTACAAAGAAATAGATTCTGTTAAAAAAAGCCTAGCTTAAATATGAAGCCGAGGGTCAGATATAAAAAAAAATCCAACATTTGCAATTCTCAAAATTCCTCACACTGTAATATAAATTTAACCTATGCGAAGTGAACATTACTACATTTCAGCAAAATATTTCAAGAAATATTTAAGAATGGTTATAAGAAAATCTTTATTACGCATTCTTTTTATTGTCTCAAATTCACTTAATGGAAATTCACTTATGTGGAAACCTGTTTTTTATAACACAAAGAAAGACACCCGGTTTCATTCATATTTGTTATTGGACATTCAATGTGGGATATAAAGGTAAAATAAATTTTGGACCGGGTTCAATAAATATGTATATTTGTTTACAGTGCTCTAAAATGTATTGTATATGATAAAAGCATGAAAATAATGTAAAAACATTGTAAAATGGAAAAACGATCGAAATTGTTAAAAAAAAAATTGAAATAGTTGGAAAACATTGAAATTCTTGAAAATCATTGACATTGTTGTAAAACATTTAATTAGTTAAATATTGAAACAGTTGGGAACATTTGTACTGTTGAAAACCCCCCCTTTTTTTAATATCTTTATTTCTTTCCTGAACAGCACGTCATGATTTTCAGGAAGTTAAACTGGTACATCATATTAACATTTTGGATTTTTATCCTAATTTATGATTTTTTATTTTAGCAGACAGTAACCTTTGCCTTATGGTGATTATACACGTAGTTTGATTATTTTGCACGTCATGTTATTTCCTCTTAAATGGCTTTGAATATATTCATCACTGATTTTTTGTTCATAGACCTGAGAATACATGTCTATGGTGGACAAAAATTGTTTCGTTTAATCTCTATTGTTTTTGAAAATTGTAACTTTTTTGCTATTGCACAGTTTTATACTGTGTGCTAAGCAAAAAGCTTTTTTGCAGTTTATGAACATATATGCAGTATTTCTTTTTTTCATAGGGGCATGTTGTGTAAGTTTTTCTCTTGGCACTTGGAACATCACAAAGCTAATAAACATAGTAGGTCCCCTAAATATGTATAGTGTTGATCCAACTTTGTGGGCCAGCAAGGAATTCCTCAGGAATCTTTTTTTATATAGTTACCCGTAAGTTACCCGTTGTGAGAGAAGCATTGAAAGTTCTGGTTTAGCAAAGTAGAAGTAGCAGCGAGCGAGGAACTTGCACGAGTAATCGGTGAAGTGCAAGGGACATTTTTCGCAACGTGGGCGTAGTCAGAGGCGCCGGTAGCAGTCGAGGAAGAAGAAGAGGCGGAGTAGGAAGAAGAACGGAAGATGACGCAAGAATACAGCGTAGACGGCAGAGGCGAATCCCGTTTCTTACGACGCAGAAGCTGGGACCGAGCGACGTCGACGCAGAGACCAGCGCACGACCATCAAGGCCAAAAGTGGGAAGTCCACGAGGTAACGGTTAGGGCGCGGAAAGTAGGTCAAGTTCACGTCGGCAGGGAAAACTAGTATAGGAGTGTTAAGAAATTGAGAACACAAGTGGCAATAAATTGCAGTATTATAGTAGGAGACATTTTGATGTGCTATTGCCTGCATAAAATATTCTACTTAGGATATTTATTATTCTGCTATTTTCAGACACAGTTAAATTGTAAATGAGAGTAGTGCACTTGCACACTTTTGTTCTTTGCATGTAATATTTTGATGCAGATTGTAAATTGAAATTTTGGTTGCATGTGCAATGTAATTAGAATAGCATAAATTTAGATATAATTAATTTTCTAAGGGAATTTCCCAGTTGCTAGATTAGGGTTAATTATATTCAGACGTATCAATATTATGGTGTAAATTATGTGTGTTCATTCATATGAGTGTGTGTTGTTAAAGGTTTCTATTTGGGTTTTGATCATTCTTTGTAAAAGTGTGATTCTATATTCTTGGTTTTTGTCATGAACTTATGCCACTAAAAGTTAGGTATGGTAAATTATACGCTCGTTTGTGGTGCAATCCTGTGTGATTTTATTTGTGTCAAGGGTTCAAACCTTTCTCGCAACCCGGAAGAGTCCTGCTCCCTAGATTTTTAAGCTCGCTTCACGAGCAAAATCTTGATAACCCTCTTACGATTCATGCATGCTGCTGTTGAAGGTGGTAAGTTTGGGTGTGTGGGTTATATATATATATATATATTATATATATATATATATATATAATATATATATTCCCCTCCCCGCATGACAATTGCCCATTAAATCAGAAAACTGGACTTATCAGAACAATCACACACCAATTCACGCATTGCCCCGTAAATTTTCCACACGATCTTCTAGAGTAGGTTCCAATTTCAGATTTATATGAAAGTCATACTTACAACAGATACATATTTCAATAATATAATCCTTAATATTTTTCAATTTAAACTTTGATTTTCAACGTTAAAACACATAATCTAAAGTCCGTTCACAAACTAAGTAAATAAATGCCAGTGAAAAAAAGCTTTCACTCATTAAATCACACTAGAGCAGATTAAAACATTGTACTCACTGTTTATTAGTCCAAACAGTATCCACTTGTGTAATAAGCTGTCGTCCACTGTCTGTTCGTACTTGAACAAAATCACCTGTTTTTATAACACAGGCAGGAGCATTATATTGTTCAAAGGTATGAGAAACCTCTGGGTTGTTCGAATTAAATACTTCAACTTCTGCAAATAAAAATATATAAAAAAGCTGAATAATTAGTGAAAGGACTGGGAGGAAGGGTGAAAAAACAGTCAAGGGTTATTAAGAAAGTAAAATATAAAGAGCAAAATTATCAGTTGATTGATTATTATAGTCTCCGGCAAAATTATGGTGACCACATGGAAATTACATAGTTTGTTTCCTTTTCCCTCCCTTTTTTAAAGTAAAATTTGGAACTTAGAAGTGACAGCCTGCATATTCGGTCTTGTAAAGTTTTCTGTGGAATAATTGATGTTTTTTCAAAAAAGTATGAGTTGTCACCATATGTTTATTTAATACTGAAACGAAGAACGTTTCTGTATTATAACAATTAAAATTGATCACTAATTATAATTAAAATAAAGTACTGGTGTTGATCAGCGCAGTAACGCCGCCGCCACCAACGGACAAATCGGGTGGTAAAACGGCGAGGCGAGCGACCGGTTAGAGAGTAGTGCGCGGAAGAGGCCTCGAGTGAAACACGGACGGCGGCAGTGGCTGCGTCCAAGAGATTAATTGTCGTTGTTAAAGCTGCAGTCGGACTGAGTTTGTGGAACCCAGGTTGATAAGGATTAACAATCAGATGATTGGTGAAAGTGAATTGCGCACCAGAACTGATAAAAAACCAATAAGACAGGAAATCGTGTGGCCGAGGACTCGTTCATATTCCCACCCTGGTATAATATAACAGTGGCAGTACTGTACGGACATCCGCGCAGAGTGGATAAAGGTCGCTGAAAAGACTAGAACTGCCGACGAACATTCAATCACGCGCTCGTGCGTTCCCAGTACCCCGTGAGACATTATTCGTACCGGCTGGGGTGGACCCCGGGCGAATTCATCGGCCGTTACGTTGGGGCCAGAGGAGTTGGTCGCCGAAGGAGGCGAATTCCCGGCGGACTTCGGGGCGGAACCGAAGATTGCCGAAGACACCGCCGCCGTTGCCACGGGACGGCCCCGGTCGCCTCTAGAGGAAGCAGGTGGTTTTTTAAAACATTTCAAGGTTGCGTTGACCGTGCGCTTGTTTCCAAGGCCTTGCGCGTTTGCGATTGTAAATACTATTTGTAAAGTGTGTTTTCTATCATTAAAATATTTAAATGTGCAAAAGAATTTATAACGATTATTTCCTATGCTGCGCCAAATTCCTGGAGACCCATTCACGAAAATGTACTGTCCCTTGCCAAATTTATTTCTCGTGAAAAGTACCGGCTTCCCAAGGTACGTCCACACCTGGGCGCCCGAACAGTATGGACTCGTGTATTTAAGAAATGTGGCTCCAGGGAATTTGACAAAACATTTTGGAGTTTACAGTGAGCATTAAACTGGATTGAGGAATAAATATTAATGTATGTGGAGTGTATATTTTGTTAGTAATATAATAAATGCAAGTAGTTAGAAAACTGCTATTGGAAAGGAAAAGTACTATTGTGAATAGAAAATACTAGTAGATATAATTGTTGCAACAAAGTAGATCTGGGGAAATAATTTGTAAGCAGTTAGAATGTATTCATATTTGGAGGGCAACAAAAAGCAATCAGATGTGCGTTGGTGTAAAGTGTGTGATGCTATATTTAAATGGGGTTATTTTGAATGTTATGTACTATTAGCTGAGGGAATTTTACAAAGAAGGTAATCCAACTAAATTGGGTGTGGGTTCGTTGCAAAACATATGGGTTAATTGAGAAAAAGATGAAAAGTTAGTGTAAAGCCATTATAGTGAATTTGCACAATTTTGAATTTCTTGATGATTAATAAGTTGAAAAGAATTTATTACAGTGACATTGCGTAATTTGAGTGCGAGTATGTTATGTTACTGGAAGGGAATTCTTGTGTGTTGTTTATAATTGGTGGAAATTTGTTTTCATAGAAATAAGTGTATTTGTTGTATTAATGTAATTGAGGATCTGCTTGTTAACCATTGAAAGATCCGAAGTAATAGCGTGTGCTAGGACAAGGCGGTTGGAATTAACGGCCAGGATATAGCAAGAGCATTTATTGCAGTTGCAGAGCCTTGGGAAGCTAGTGGGGTCGTGTAAACATCCCACGGATTCAAGTTGGGTACGAAACCCAGTAAATTCAAAAGATATAATAAGATTGGAGGCCCGAAGCCAGAAGTTGGATCGCGGATGAGAAGCTCGAACGAGTAGATAATACGGATGAAGGAATTGTGTGGAAATATTTTTTTTTGGACGAAAGTAGGATAGTGCGAGTGAAGCCGATTAGGCATGACACGTCGGCGAGATTCTTTAATTGGAAAAGGTAGAAATTACATCGACGCCGATGAACCAGGCAGCAGGAAAACCGAAATCAGGAGGGCCGGGTAGATACCCATACAAGCTACATTGCAGGATGATGATGATTATTTAGAAGAACAGAGCAGGAAAGCGGAGGTAACAGAACAGGAAGATATTAGAAAGACAGAATAGGCGGGCGAAGAACAGAAAAGAATAGCGGAAGAACAAAATACGAAAGATTAGAAGAAACAAGAAAAGAATAGGCGGAAGAACAAATAGGAAATTAGAAGAACCCAGAAAAGAATCGCAGAAGAACCAGGCAGGAAGCGGAGGACCAGAATAGGAAGATATTTGCGAAGAACAAAAAAAGAATGGGGAAGAACTGAATAGGAAATTTAGAGGAAACAGGATAGGGAAAGCTGATGTAGAACGAGCGGCAAAATTACGAGATGAAAATAAGAGGGCAAATAGAATGTCTTAATAAACAAATCGAGTTGACCAGAGTGAAATGTCCAGGAGTTGCGGAACAGTGGACGTCAAGAACATTTTCGTGGATTTTTGACAACACAGGAAATTTGAGTCTCAGTTGAGTAAATTAGGCGGGGAAGTTGGAAGCCAAATTACACCAACAACTGGGATGCTAAGGTCGGCGCACAGGATGAATAAAATTGAGGGGGTGCAGAACCAATTTCGAAGAGGAAATCAGAACAGTGGCAGGATAAAATAGCGAATTTCCAAAGTCACAGTCGTGACAATGTTCGCAGAGTGGAAGAAGATGACGAGAAAACTACAGCCCAAACGGCTCCAAAGAAGAAATCAAGAAGAATTAGCATGAGGAGTGCGAAGAGAAAGTTTCATCCCTACAAGCCCGATGTTGAACAATAAAATAATGCAAAGTATCACCGATTGCCCGCGAAGCGCGAACGGGCCCATTTACACCCCAGAGTCATTAAATTTTCGGGAGATGCAAGAAAATCCGTGTGCATTTATGCGGGCGGCAGAACGGCACTAGCAGTGATTAACCACATCGGAAAGATGCAAAGTCCTAATTTTTATATTTGAATGTTGAGGGGAACGCCCGGACGTGGCAGATACTTTCGATGTGTATTTCCGGAATTCCCTTGAAGCGAATTTAAAGACAGATATTTTTGAACGAATTGAAACGGAAGAAATCCCAACTGAACTTCAAGATAAATTTGATGAATAGTCATTACAGTTATTTCCATGGGGCAGTTTAACGTGAAAATACGCAACGAAGCGCATTATGGAGTATAAAGAAATATTCTCCCCCTATGGAATGACCAAGAAAATATTTGAGTACTAACGCAAACCAGTTTCCCGTCACTGCCTGCAGAACTTACTGCGCAAGCGCAATCATACAAATTTAAGAGAGGTTTCAGATTGTTGGGAGGCGTCATGATCTACGTTTGCAGTCGCTCCAAAGAATAGAAATGAGGCAATGTAAACATGTTTAGAATGGAGCAAAGGCCCGGGCAAGGGATGGTGATGGCACAGGCAACCAGTGGAATCCCGACGCGAAGAGGTGGAGATAGATGGGAACTGGGAACCGAAGAATCAGGAACCAGAAATGGAATGGATCGGATCAAACCGCACGGAGGGCAGCTAGAAGTGGAGGGGGAGTGCACCGAGTCCAGATCATCGCGACCCGTACAAGCAGGAGAAAGGGAAGCATTAAACCAATAGGAGTCCGTGGTGAAATGTGGGCCCCATCGGCGGGACCCAGGTTGACGAAAATTTAAAATGTGGTCCCTATCAACACCATCAGCCAGTGACCCTACCCGACGCCAGCGCGTCGGCAGAGACGTAAAAGTTCGGCAGATTAGAATAAGAGAAGTGTCCTACAATCAAGGCTAAGGAGTGTTGAAGGGAGTGGAAACGAGGCGCTAGTGGATACAGGGTGCACGACAACAGTGGTGTCGGAAGAGTTTTATGACGAATTAATCGCGAAGGAAAAACAAGTAATGTTTGCCAAATCAAATCGGGGCATATTGTGAAGGAAGCCATCCAGAAAAAGTCGAGCCCTATCACGAAACAGGATAATGTTTAAACGCCCACGATTTGGCAATCAAATATACGAAGTTGGTAGCCTTGGTAGTGAAAGAAAATTCATTATATCCGATGATTATACGGACAGACTTTCTATCTGATCAACGAGCGGTTATCGATTCGGACCCGTCCAAGAGGTAAGAGTTAGGGAGCCCAGGCCCCGATAGAGATTGATTTTGAATGGAAAGAGGAGCATGAAGTATGTACGGTGTATTATCGGAGAAGCTGATAGAAGGACAGATTAAAGCAACAGGCTTTGAGCAGATAGATGCGATTAAATGCACAACAGAAAAGTATAAGTTTGCTGAATGTATTTAATAAGAAAACAAAAGGGTGTTTCAAAAGAACCACGCTCCAATTATTTTTAGACATAAATTTTCAAAGTTTGTTCAAGTTACCCAGGTCCATTAAAGTTGGAAATTCAAGAAACTGTTTGAAATTAGTCGAAAGATTCGTCAGATTGCTGGGCCATTCAAGCGATATTGTCTGACCATGGAAACTATTGTTACTAGCAGAAAGGTGGAAGAGAAGAATAACAAAGATTAGGAGCAATTCCCATACAATTCGAACAGTTGAGACACCCTCAACACCCATCGGAGCGAATAATGAAAGAATTGGTCCCAAGAAATTGTTGTAGAACGTATCTGTAGTGATGATCATAAAACCCTGGAACAAACTTATCCCCGACACAATCGTTGGTGGAACCAAATTCCTCATGACAGCACTGGTATTACACCATGGGAAGCACATTTTCAACCAAAAACCCGCCATCATTATCTTGTACGCATTGGAGAGACCAGAAATATCTCAAGAAATAACCAACTGAAGACAAGGCAACAAAATATACCAAGCACTGGTGAAATCCCGGGGAAAAGGAAAGGAAGGCCAAAACTGAAGAGAAGGCTTACCAATTTAGTGAGGGGGCAATCAGTATTGTTTACGGCGTTCCAAGGTTGTCGAACCCGGGTCTAAATTATATGCCGAAATTATTTTCCTGTTACGAGGGGGCGGCTATCATTATAGACCCAGGTGACGACAAGAATGTGGGCTAGATTGTTGAACGACAAGGCAAGAGAGTGGGGAGGCATTATAATTTTCCACAATTTGAGACCATTGTCCTACACGTAAGGAACAATATTTTCAAAAACTAAGGAAAGGTATATTACCTGTTTTGAATAGACAAACGGGAGAGATGATTAGTTAAGTTGTATTTATGTTATTAAACCTGAATTTGTATTTATTACAGTTTTTGGAGATCATTTGTATATTGTAGTGTATAACATTTAGGTCGTAGAAGGGTTCTTTGTAATGTATTATGTAAACCATAGTCCCTAGTATAGACAATCAGGTACTATTGATTTGTTGAAAACTGTATTTTATAAAATCACATATTGGATAAGATTTGCCTATAATTGTTGCGCTGGATTATATTAGTTATTGGATTTTTTTTGGCAAGAAACAAAATTCCGAAAAAAAAGGGGGGAAGGGGTGTGAATGAAACGAAGAAACGTTTCTGTATGTATAAACATTAAAATTTGATCACTAATTATAATTAAAATAAAGTACTGGAGTTGATCAGCGCAGTAACGCCGCCGGCCACCAAACGGACAAATCGGGGTGTAAACGGCGAGTCGCGGAAGCGACGGTAGGAGTAGGTGCGCGGAGAGGCCTCGATGAAACACGGACCGGGGCAGTGCTGCGTCCAAGAGAGTTAATTGTCGTTGTTAAGTGCCAGTCGGGACTGAGTTGTGGAACCAGGTTGATAAGGATTAAGCAATCAGATGATTGGTGAAAGTGGAAAATTGCGCACCCCGAACTATGATAAAAACCCTAAGACCAGGAAAATCGTGTGGCCGGATGGACTCGTGTTCATATCCCACCCTGGTATAATATAACAGTGGGCAGTACTGTAACGGAACATCCGCAGAGTGGATAAAGGTCGCTGAAAAGGACTAGAACTTGGCCGACGAAACATCAATCACCCGCCGTCGTTGGCGTTCCAAGTAACCCCGTGAGACATTATTCGTAACCGGCCCTGGGGGTGGACCCGGCGAATTGCATCGGCCGTTACGGTTGGGGCCAGAGGCAAGTTTGTCGCCGAAGGAGGGGCGGAATTCCCGGCGGACTTCGGGTGCGACCGAATATTGCGAAGACACCGCCGCGTTTCACGACGGGCCCCGGTCGCCTCTAGAGGAAGCAGGTGGTTTTTAAACACAGCAAGGTAGCGTGGACCGTGCGCTTTTTCCAAGGCTGCGCGTTGCGATTTGTATAATACTATTGTAAAAGTGTGTTTTCTGATCCATTAATTATTTAGGTGCAAAAAGAATTTATAACGATTATCTTCCTATGCTGCGCCAAATTCCTGGAGACCCATTCACGAAAATGTACGTCCCTTGCATAATTTATTTCTCGTGAAAGTACCGCTTCCCAGGTACGTCACAATACTTATTGTTTTTATCTTCGACTGATGTATTTTAAGGTTTTGGTTTTATAAATTTGAACTTTTTATAGTTCTTTGCATATAGTTACTTTACCTAAACATTTTTTATTTATAATTAGTCATGGGAAGGCCAAAGAATATGCCTCCAAAGAAAAAGGGAGAGATTAAGGTTCTAATAGAACTTTCAAATTTTTCAGAACGTCAAATCACTAAACAACTTCAAGTTTCTAAGTAGCATACATTGACAGAAAATTAGAGAATGGTGAAGGTTTGATACCAAAACTTGAGGGCAATTTTGGTTGAAAGCACATTATATCTGCCCGAAGCATACGAAAATTGACTGACATGAGAACTGAGAATAATAGAACAGGAACCTCTGAAAAGATAAAATGAAAGTTGTGCAAAGCTGCAGTGAGCTTATCATTGCGAAAAATACAGCAGTTATTATAAGAGCTCAACTTGAACAGTTGCTGTTCTGTTAAAAAGGCTTTGTTGACAAAAATATGAAAAATAAAAGACTGGAATGGGCACCCGAAATCCACATCCCTGCCTGTCCTTTAAACAACTAAGTGTCTTTAGATAATTATCAACCAATATATGTGTACCCTACCAATTCTCGACTGACACAAAATGTGCCTCTATATACAATAAACAAGCTTGTCAATACTTTTTTAAATGAGACTGGTGGCAATACCGACATTTTGGTTTATTTTTATGTTAATTACATGCAAGATCAATGAATTTGCTGGTGCCTTCTTGTACCTATTTAATTTGTGTCCTACAAGACCTGATGGATGTATACATGTAAAAATAAAAGAATAAAATAATGAGCATGAATTTTCTAAAACCCTACTTACAGGTTTTTCTTTCTCTACAAACTTCTCCAATTCTTCTAATTCCGCAATCTCTTCTTTATGTTTCTCTACTCGTTCCCGAAAAACAGAAACATGTCTCTTTGGCTCAATTACTTCTTCCCTAGGCATTAATTTAATATTCTGGGACATTGCAAAGGGCCACACCTACAACATAAAGAAGAGCCAGGTTCATAACATGATCTAAAATTATTTTGAATATTAATTTCTCACAAATTATTACCAAATGAAATACCTTAATTTTTTTGAAGGCTCTAGCTTTGGTTGAATATCGTGATTCACAAACATATACGTCCTTGTCAGGAAATCCTTCTGGTTTTGATCTGAAGTAATCTTTGACACTAAGCACACAACATAATCCTTGCAAGTTATTTAGAGGGACTGCTGCATGCAGTTCACTCTTGAAGACCTCCTACAGCAACAATTAATTACAACAAAATCTAAAACAAGAATATCAATTTACAAAGAAAACACATACCTTCTCCAGAAATTTTCGTGTAGTCACGTGATAAGTCTCGTTTGGTCTGAAAAATACATTGCCATACATCATTTGCTGGCCTTCCTGATTGGTCCACAGGCGTTCTATATGTATAATTGTAGGCTCAACACCCCGTTCTTTAGGTTCAGCATAAACAAAATCGCCTACATGGTAAACCTGATGATTGAAACTCATTGAATCTCCAGCAGCAACATTCGAGGTTGATTCCTGTAAAGGTTGTAGATTTTGTAGTACTTTGGACAGTGAAAAAAATATATTTCACTGAAAAAAGAACTACTCAATTTTCATTGGTCAACCATTAACCCAGGAGTGGTTGCCTGAGAGAAAATGAACACCAGAGAAAATTTTTGTGGCATAGAGATTTTCTAACATCATGAATTAATATAATTAAGTATTTATGTGACTGTTACTGCCTTAACTTTATTTATCCAGTATTTTTTATTTAAAATCATTAATATAAATTTGTAACACTTATCAAATATCTGTTGGTGCAATAAGATGTTACTTTTTCTTTGCAAGTGCAAAAGAAATTCATAAATATTGATGAAAGGCAAATGTTAATTTTAGAATGTATGTGTACAATTCAGTAATTAATTTTCACAGAATCTTTACAAAAAATAATGAATGTGATTTGCATACTAATGATTTCTAGGAGTTTTCACATTCCTGGGATGCTTTGCAGTCCAAATTTAGTACATAAATTTCACATTTTGTCTTATTAGTTTTCTTTCTTGGAATTTCTGTTTCTTGTGTTTGTTCTGAATGCAAATATTGTGTTTATTCTAAATGTCATTTTAGAAATCAACTCAATGGCCAATCCTATTAGTATTGAATAAGCCAGAACAATAGGCATAAACAATGCAAATTTCCATTTGCAATTCTTATTTCTGGCGGTTTCTGGAAGTATCCATATCATCCTGAAAGTCGAATGTACCTACACGAATTGTGTCAGAAAAATTTATCACAAGGGTTCTGTGGATAATGCGATGGTCAGCTCTGCTTGTCAACACCAATCTAGCATAAGAGCATGCAGGAGATTTTTGACCTCCAAGCCACCAGCGAGATAAAATAAATTGTTGGGAATTGGAAGCCAGCCTGTAATTACATAATGAATAATGGATTTCATAGATAAAAAATTAGGAGAAAGGTACTAAACATAACACGAGTATACAATGTTCTGAAACAAAACTACACATGAAATAAGGCCTGGTGACTGAATTCTCCCATGTGACCCCTCCCAGGTTAACATTCACTCACTTTCAGAGAATCTTCAGAACTACGTGTTTCCGCTTCTTCCTCGGGCTGTTCCTGTAGCAATTTCTGCTGACGAGTTGCCTCCACTGCAGCTGCTAAATGCAGCAAGGTGTAACTCAAAGCTGGTGATTGGAGAAGATCTCCATTGCGACATAGCTCATCTCTACAGCAACAATTAATTTTTATTTAGAATTTTCACATTTTTTACCCTATTTCCACGAACAATAAAGACAAATTAAAAGACCTACCTTTGACGAATGAAACACGACTGTAATTCTATAGAATCTTCGAACACCTGCGAGTCTGTTCGTGACAATTTCCGTGCTCTTTCCATACAAGCAAAAATATCCTCTTGAAAAATGTCAAGTCTACGATACAACCCTCGGTCCAGTCGCCTTTTCACAAGATCAAGTGACAAGGCTCTCACTCTGAAAACAAATATTATTGTTTTAACAACAATTTATTGCATAATCAATTAATATAATAGTTATAAAAAATATAATAAAACAAGAAGGAAAATCATGTTCTATTTTCATTCCTGTCCCTCTCTTGAGTACAGTGATCATAACTAATTTATTTTGAGATTATGTTTCAAGTGGGTCTCATCAACTATTTTTAACAGACATTGTTTTGCTGTTAATTATATCAAAAGCTGAGCAATCCAAAAACATTTTCTGGCAGGGACACAGTAACCTGCCAATTTCAAAATGTGGATGGCTGAGAGGTTCTTTTCTTGAGAACAGGCAAGCATTCATTCCATTATTGATCCATCAATTTGTTTATGATTATTATCACAAATCATAGCTGACCATTAGTGATATGATAAAATCTTAAGTTGAGCCATGATTTTCCTAAGTCTAAAGAATTATTAAAATCATATTTGCAATCAAGGAGTGCAACACTGACACTCATTTTTACATCAAGACATTATCATTCTCCAAGTAACATTTAAATTTTGAATATTACTGAATGATTTTTTTTGTGTTGAAAATGGTTTGGTGTCATAGCAGATGTAAAAAATAAGGGAAGATAATTTTGTTGGCTAAGTCTCTTGAACTCGATTTTCTTTGTTGCTTAAAAGGCACTACTTTAAAGAAATGTAACATTCATTTATATAACGTGATTAACAGCATGCCATGATGATTTATTATAGACAATTGACAGTGAATGTGTGGAGCAAATAACAATGGTAGCTTTGAGCAGCAGAGAAGGCCATTACCATGGTTCCAGAAGGGGGAGCATGCAGCAGGGGGCCACATGTGTTAGCAAAAAGAGAGAAAGTGATCTTCCTAAAAACATTTTCTCCAATGTAATACATTGACTAATTCTTCAAATAATCAGATCATTGACCCTACGGCAACAATATTTGCATTCATTTAATCACAGATTAGTCCATCATTGAAGATAGAAGCACTATCATAATAATAACATACCAATTAAGCACTGAACACATACACTTTTCTGTAATTACATTTAGTGCATTGTGTGACAGCACTATTCAAGATCTCAAAAAAAGCAATTTTAGAGACAACGCTCACATGCATTACATGCAACTCAAAGAAGAAAGTAATAATTAAACTATAACAAGGGAATTTACTCCCATCCTTTAAATATTTTGGAACTCTTTCTGAATTCACTAACACAAAAAGAGTTCATGGGGATAGCAATCAGGCTACTTCTCCGAGGAGGGGGGCTTACAACTATAGTGTCCTGGCAACTTGATGTTTTCTTACAAACAATTTTTCATTTCAGCCAAATTTCAAGTGTATTTTTATAAGTTGGTCAATATTTTATAGTGTTAATAAATGGGGTACTGAATGAGTTTCACTCATACAGAAAATTAGTATAAGTTATACTTTTTATTATGTAGAATCATCTTTGAGGCAAGGGAGGCTGAAGGCCCATGCTGCCCCCTCCCAAGCATGAATCTTAATTTTTGACATTTTTGAGATTTTAACATTACCTAATTATTTAGAGTTTTCTGAATAAAATGATATATACATTAATTTGAAATGCACTCTTTTAACATCTTTTTAGTTATTTTCTTCCTTCATCTGCACATGTCAAAATGGCAGTCATTTTGGTCTCTCATTTATGTTACATCTTTTGAACAATTTTATCTACAAGACTATTTTTCTCTAAATAATAGAGAAAAGTTCATTCTTCAATGTTGTTTGCACAGCAAAACTTTATCTTCAATGACTACTTGCACAGCAAATGTGCTTTGTTCACTTGTTATCAAGAGGAGTCGACTCATTTCGAAGAAAAATTAACTTCCATGCTTATTTCTAGAAAACATTTTTGAACACATTTGTCCCATTATCTCTGAAATTATTGAAGTGATAATTTTCTATCAGGACCATCGCACACTGATTTGCCGTCCTGGTGCAAACACATTTTGCCACTTTCAAAAATAATAAAATAATTCCATTCTTTTATTTGTAAAAAAAGTAATTGTTTAAAATAGTATTTATGGAAGTATTGTTATAGATTTATTAAATATATAAATTAAATAATAAATAAATCTATAATAATTACTTATTTATTTATTAAATAATATCTATGCATTAATATTAGTATGAGTATACAAAAATTGAATAGCATGAAATTTTACAAAGGTACTTTTCGAACTTTCAAACTTGCAAATTTTTTTATAACTCTCTCTAAATTAATATTGTTGCATGTTTCACTTTCAATTGATGACATTGCTAGATGTGTTAATCTTTCTTGTCATAGTTGATCATTGGAAATTTTTAATAATTGTTAATTTTGAAAATGATCTTTCTCTGGTGGCTACTGTAACTGGTGAAGTTAATCAAATTTGTAATATCACGGAAATATTAGGGAATGACCTCATTAGTTTATTTTGATATTTAAATTCCAATACTTAAAATGGTGCTTTTATATCTTTTGGACGATCTGTATCAGCTTCATCGGCCAGTTTTCGTTGTAAATCCATACAATCGTGTAGTATGTCTAATTAACTCATTTCTGCTAGTTTGTTGGTCATATAAAAAAATAAATACATCAGTTTGCTCCTTAAACAATTGAAACGTTTCTTCTATACATGTAACTGAAGTGTCAATTATATGAGGGTCAGTCAAAAAGTAATGCTTTTTTGACTTAAATACAATTAGTTAAGTAAAAAATTGCATTTGGCAATATTCCTCAAACCTTCTTCCACAATCCACTGCAGTGGAACTTCCTGCATCAATATGTGACAGCATAGCAGATGCTTAAAAAATTGCTGGCATCAATGTTCATATGAAAGAGCGTTGTGTGACAATTCTTGAATGAAAAAAGGTGAAATGCCTATTCGTGAAAGACTAAAAAGTGTTTATGGTGAATCAACAGTGAATGTCTGCACTGTTAGATGATGGGTTCGCTGCTGTAATGAAGCTGAAGGGCAAACACCTTGAGCTGACAAAAAGCAGCGTGGCAAGACAGTAACTTCACTTAAGCCACGCAACATTCAGCAAGTCAATGGCATAATTTGTGGTGACCGTCCGGTGACTGCAATATTCTCCCTCAATTCATTTACAGTCACCTGCTGCTCCATTCTGTTCAAATTACTCAGTAAAATTATCATGCTAAAGTGAAATAACTATGTACAAAAATGTGAAAGAGTTAATAATTGTTTTCCTCTTAAATAGAAAAGCACGTAATGTATAATGAGAATAGGATATAAAACACTGCAATATTTTAATTTTTTACTCAAAAATCTCTACTTCAAAAATTAGCAAACCTTTTCTGTGAAGCAAACTTCTTTGTTTGGTTTTTCATTTGTTTGATAAATATTACCTAATTAATGAAATAAAATGACACAGAACCGTTTCTGCAAAAGAATTTATCAAAACTGATTCAAAAAAACCCAGTTTTGATACCCCTCTAAAAACTGTTCTGTTTATTTCACGTGACCGGAGAAATGTGAAACTTTTGATATCTATTGTTATATATGTTTTTATCATACTAATTTCCAATTTAAAAACACAAATCGAAAAAAGAAAACTATGCAGCTCTGGCAGTGTGAGAGGTCTTTTGTTTTATTAGATACTGAGGAACTCAGGAAAAACACAAAAACCTCCATCTACATTACTAACTCACATTACATGCACACAGAAACTGGAAGAAAATGATGCAGCTTCTGGCCATGTATGGGGTGTCTATGGTTTCATTATCCACAAGCTCGGGAAAAATTCAAAAACAATGAAACAGTTTTGATTTTGACTGAAAAAGGCTAATATTTGGATTCTCATACTGCACATTCTGACCGATTTCTCATTCTCAGTGCTGTGATATAGCTGATATCATGTGACAGCAATGTTCCAAGGAAGAGATCACCCATCGTTATATATTTGCTATTTACACGTAATGTTATGGAATAGCAACTTATGTAAAATTCTTGGTATGAGAAGATCTTGGTTTGTGCATCAGTATATACTATACCATGATATTGCAGGATGTGTGAATACTGTTCTTATTCAAATATTTAATTAAAAAAAAAAAAATAGTATTTAGGTAATTTTCTTTGTAGTGCCTTTTGTGTCTTTTGTTTCTTTTTAGTGTCTTTGTAGTGTCTATACATATATATATATATATATATATATATATATATATATGTGTATGTGTGTGTGTGTGTGTGTGTGTGTGTGTGTGTGTGTGTGTGTGTGTATATAAATGATATTGATTTATATATATGATTTATATATATAAATGAATGTATGAATGAGAGCATCAAAAGAGTTCAGGCAAAATTTGCAACAACATCAACTAAATCATCACAAAATTAATAAAATAAACATGCTAGCAGTCCTGAAAGCCTTGTAAGGGTAGTTAATATGTTGATAACTCTGGGCTACAAAGGAGTTCAAGCTAAAGTTTATAGGATCATCAGGACAGCCACCCATGCAGCACCCTTGTAAAGGTTTCAGATAAATATTGTCCTTATATAGTCCGGGTCCCAGTTTTCCGACCGCCGGAGAGGGGTCCTAGTTTCCGCGCGGGGTGAGCGGCAGTGGTAGGAGGGGATGGCTTCGCTGCACCCACAAGTCACGTGACATAATCGCAACCGTTCCAAGAACATCGAGCGGCTAGTTCGCTTGTGCGCGGACCGAGTGTTAACGTGCGGAAAACCATTTGTTTCTCATCATGGCAAAGAGAGTACTAATACGACTATACACAGCGAGGGTCGCGAAATCATTGTTCCGTTGTGATTGAAATATGTGATAAGGAGAAAGAGATACATTTTTAAATTTACCTTTAATGAAAGCGAGTGAAAGAGCCTCCGAATACACAGAATTAGACTCACCACCATCAAAGCCATTCGGAAGAAAATAAAAAGAGGAATGAGAATAACCCAAATCGGAAGCTTAAGTCTCCTGGGCACGTGGCAATTCTGTCCATGTAGATAGTTTTGACCGGTGTGTCATTAGAAATACGATTTCTGGATTCTACATGAGAGAAAAGGTAGTGCCGACGGTGCTAAAGCTTCTTCAATTATTAAGGGCAAAATTAAATTTCCTTGGGCCCAATATCTTTATTGCGTGTTATGAAATCAATGGGTTTTAAATGGAAAAAGGTGCCAATCAAAGCGGCGCGGTGCTGATAGAGAGACCGGACATAGTGGATTGGAGATCCAGATTCATTGTTCAATGGAAACAATTTCTAGAAGAGAACCGAGATATCATCTATGTGGATGAGACATGGGTTGATAACACCCTTAAATTTCAAAAGTGCTGGAGTGTGATAACGTTTGTGGTGTCAAAGTGATGGGAAATGCAAACAAGTAGACTAATAATTGTTCATGCAGGGGGAGAAAATGGATTTCTTTGCGGCACGTGTCTAATCTTTCGAGCTAGTAGTACTTGGGAGACTACCACGGCCAAATGAATGGCATTAATTTTGAGAAATGAATCCTTGACAATGCTCCATACCACAGTATTGAAGTCACAAAACGCCGTCCGCATACTCAAGAAAAGCTGACATGATTGTATAGCTTCAAAGAAAGGGAGTGCATTGTGAGAAACCATGCGTAAGATGATTTGTACCGATTAATTGCACCTCTCAAACCACGCGCTAAGCAGTTACAAGATCGATGAGTTGCTAGCAGCACACGGACATACAGTTGTACGACTCCCTCCCTACATGTGTGAGATGAACCCAATTACATTGTGTTGAGATGAACTTGCTTGAGCGAAGTAAAGCAGATATTTAGGGGCGAAATGTAACAGGTGATATGTCAGTTACAAGTTGCAGAAAACATTTGAAACTGCAATACAAGAGGTCACCATGCAGGACTGGCAAGGATTTTGCAACACGTTGAAAAAATAGAAGTGATTATCGGGGAAAAAGATAGTATTGTATCGGACGTCATTGACGAAAATAATTAATTCGGACTCCGACAGTGATTCATCAGAGAGTGAAGCTCCAGATCATCATCAGATTCTGAATAAGTTAAGTGTAGATAACTAAAATAATCATGCAAGAAAAACGCCGCGATCGTGAAATAAAAAAATGTTTTTCGCGCGGCTAGTAGTACGTCGACGGCCGCGGATGTCCTTCCCCACCACTGCTCCGTTTCTTGGAAGAGGCCTGCGTCCCTTCCGTCCCGCGGTCGGAGAACTCAGTCCCGGACAGTACTTATATTTCATTATTACTATACAAATACAATCCTTTAAAAAGAGAATGTAGCACATTATATGTTCTTTGAATTTTATTTCATTCTTTGGAGTTCTTTAGAATTGGGATTTTTAATTCAATACAAGAAAAATTGATCAAAAACCTTTTCACCAATGTACACAAAAATACCTAATTAATTATTGCTGGGAAGTTCAATTATAATTTCCTTTTAAGGCTGTTTCAATCACTGAATGCAAAAAACAGATTAAAATTTAGGAAAAATTTCCATCAATGTAAACTGTACAAGAACTATAAGTATGCCACATTCATGCCTAGTTTCAATTTTTTCTCATGTTAATACCAAACATTTCACAATGAACTGGTACCATACACACATTATCCACATTTGTATACACAAGTGCACATATGATGCATGCATGCACACACGCACACGCGCACACACCAACCCCACACACACACACACACACACACACACACACACAAGTACCCACAAAAAACACAATCACACATCCATGTGCATACATGCTAAAGTGGCCATTGTTTTGATATCATCAAAAGGATTTTTGTTCAAAAAAAAAATAAATTAAACATTTGGGAAAAGCTCTCCCTTGCTTACTGCAAAACCATGATATTCCAACATAGGAATGTTTTAAATTGAACAAATATTTATTTACTTATTGCACACTTGATAGATTGCCAGCCAAATTCCTAACATATTCTTTAATTTAGATATGGGCACACCAGGATGCATGGGAATGCGGTTAAAATTTAGTATACAGTACACCCTTAGAAAAGCGAGGCGGCGGGGCTTACGTCCTAATTACTGTACGTGCTCTAATAGAAATGAATAAAACTTACGGATAGGCGATTTTCATGGTTCGCCCTTCATATGCTTTGTCCCTGCATTGTAACACCAATTTACATTCAAAGGCAAGTTTTCTCGCTTCGCTCGCTCCGATCCAAGTCATGCCAAGGCTCGGGCCTTCGGCCCTCGCATTCACTATAAACATCCTTGAGTCTATCCAACCATAATTATCAATTCACTTTTATAAGACATCGCTTTTCAAGAAAGCCTCCAGAATTCTAACTGCCTAGTTAATGCCAGAACGGCACACAGTGCCGGTTTAAACAACTTCCTTAGGTTGTACCGTATACTACATTTCAGCCGGGAATGCCAATTCCAAAACTAATATTAAAATCCATTTTAAGAAATAAAAAATGTTGCTAATAAAGTGCCCAAATTGAAAGATTGAAATTCAGGTTTGTGTTTTATAAATTATTAATAAATATTTAAAATAGGGCACATATTAACAGTACACTTTGTCATGCTTGTGAGAAAGAGTAATTCCTAGAAAGGCAGCAAAACTAAATATAAATGCTCAGTCAAAAATTAGTTTTTCCATTAGTTTTGAAGTAAATGATTCCAAAAACCTTTGTATATACAAATGTGTATTTACTTTAAATAAGCAGGTTGCTTCTAATGTCACAACTTTCTCAGGCACACAGGGAGATCGAAGATCACTTTTTGCCAATGAACTTGTGGAAAGAAATCTCATTTACACAGCTACATATAAGCAATTTGAAATATAATGCAACTGGCTGGTACGCAACTCATCCAGCACTAATGATTGGCAGATAACAAATTTTAATGTAGGGAAAAATAGATTTTGTATAACTGTCAAACACCAGTGAAGGATGAGTTGCCTACCTTTCAGTTTCTTTGCATATGTACTTCCAACTTTCTACCAAACATTACGACACCACCATGTTAGAGAGAATACATAAGAGGGGCTTAGTATATGAAAAATTCTACTTCACGGATCCCATAATACTCAAAGCTGGATGGAATCCAATCAAGAAATGTGTCATGTCTACACGAGGCTGGCACTACATGGCCACCTCTACTAACTGTGCAAGATGGACTACTTCTACGAATCTGACTGAATGCATGTGCAAACTGTGAAAATTCACGTCCAATATACCATGTAACATCTCGCAGAAAATTAGACAAAACAATTATATATATATATATATATATATATATATATATATATATATATATATATATTTATATTTATATATTAAGCCCCCAAACATTGCAACATACACTCAACTAATGTTTTCTCCAACAGTTCTATGGCGAAACAAGATTTTGCAGCTGAACACAAATTCAGCTTTTTCCAATAGATAAATCTGGAGTGTGTTTAAAACTTTTGGTATGACTCAAAAACAAAAAAAATAAATAAATAAATAAATAAATAAATAAACAAAAAACAACGATGTAAAATAATGATCCCTGTAACATGCACACATGTACAAAATTTATTTCCTTATTTAAAACTTTGTGGCAAACAAAACAAAGGATGAAGAAAATAAATGTTATCAGCCAAAAAACTTTATGTTACTAAAACTACACAGGAATAATTGATTGTTTACACACACCTATTGTCCTTGTTAGTTCTGAAATTTAAATGAAAACAGCAATCAATGTAAGTTGTTCCATTGAAAGTTGAACAACAATAAATTCAGAAGTACTCTAGAATGAATTTTAAACTCACTGTAATTGAACAATTTTTAGTTAACTCATAAACCTAACCTTCACCAGCATAAGTCTAATAAACATTATGTATTATACGGTTTGGATGATTATCATCATCATCATCATCATCATCATCATCGTCATTATCGTCATCATTATCATCATTATCATTTTTATTATTATTATTAATATTAATATTAATATTATTATTATTATTATTATTATTATTATTATTATTATTATTATTATCAATTCATGAACACATTTTTTTTTAATTTTAGTAGTTTTCATGAAATTTTCAGTAATAAAGTGTTAGAATCACTGCAAACTACTAATGAACTATTGCTTCAGAAATGGATTGAATCTATTATCTAGATATATAGGCACATCATTGAACCTCTTGGCTTGTCATCCATAGCACACGGATTTGAATTCTAACGTAAATAATTTTTTTCAGTTTTCTTAATTTTTTATTTTATTTTTTGGTAAGAATTACAAAAAGAGACATACTCTGTATTCATTGGGAGTAAGCCATTTTCATTAAAACTTCTGAATTTTCAAAAAAATTTTGAATTTTTTTTTTTACAAGCCTTTCACACTTTGTTGGGTTAGGAATTTTTCAAGGGATGACTGAAGTATTAGTAAGATAAACAACAAGTTGCAATATTATAATATATATATATATATATATATATATATGAAATACAAGAAAGTATGTGCTGATGTATCATTGCTAGTTTAATTCAGAGTATTATATGTTTTCTATGTTGTTTGGTTAACAGCTTACTAACACTTTTATGAGAATTCCAATTACAAAACAAAACTCACTTTGCACCATCCACTTCATCATGTTCTGGAAGTTCTGCCATTGAATCAGAGAAACAGCGACCTTCTTCATCTTGATGATTGTAAATAGATGTAAAAAGAGAGGTGAGTAGTTCCTGCACAGCAGCTGTAACATCCGGCACAACCTCTTCATCTTCACGTAACTGCAGTTTGGTCTGCAAGGTCACTCGTTGCAGCATTAGAGCATCCTATAAAGAAAAAGGTCAGTAATTTCTTCAAAAAAACGTTACACTGCGTCTTTAATATTGAATTAAGACTTATATTGTTAAACTTATATTGTTTTTCATGTTTACATTTAAAAACAAACTATGGAAATTCGTCTATGAAATTGAGAATTGTCACATTCAAAACAAAATTTCTTTCCGATGACAGCCTCACCAATATAGTTAAAGCATGCTCTATTTTTCAGTGAGCTTGTTGAAATACCTTATAGATCTGCGAGTCAGGTTCATTATATTTGCAAGCATTATCAAACATTAACACAAAATCTGACACCATATCATCCAAGCTTTCATATTGTCCAGCTTTTAACTTCTGAGCAATATTTTCAAGTACTATTGGACGTTTAATCACTTCGTAATAATCTGGATATTCCTATTAAGGAAACAAACACATATAGTTTAAATATTTATGAAGGTTTTGAAAGCAATTTAACAAATACATTTTTTTAAAGTATTTGTTAAAAACATCAATTAAAGAAAACAGGAACACTCACTATTTTTGATGGAAGTTTCATGAAAATTAAACTGAGTTGCCTTTGCTTGGGGTCTTTATAATCACGTATTGTGTCATACAACATACGCAGTTTCTGATTCAAAACAGTCTTTGGAGGCTTAATGCTGAAACAATAAATAAAAAAATTAAAAAAAAAAAACTGGCTGTTGTTATTATACAATAAGTACAAATAAAGGTCTTGATTCACAAAGGCAATATGTATCTACTTTTGTATTTCTACAATGAGCACATGCACCATCCTGCAGAAAGTGGTGAATTACAGACAACTATCTGTGACGCCATTAAAAATACATTCACATTTGAGAAAGAAGTATGGAAGGATTTCAACAACTGTGATGAAACCAAGCAAGAGAGAGAGAGGGTGAGATAATAAAAAATTAATGTTCTCACACAGGGGCAGATCCAAGGAGAGTAGGAGACCTGGGGGCACATGCCAACCCTTTAGACTAGAAAATATTTCTCTTCTCCTCTTGACATAGTTATTAAGATGAATAGGACGATATTGAGCAAATAACAGACACGGTGGAGGTTTGTAAAACAAGGTGATAGCTATTCCTAACAGAGTCCATTATTTGTGATATCAGCCATGTTTCATTCATTACTTTTCGTAACACCACCTTCTTTTAAAAAAAATTAATGTAAGAAAGGAATATCATTGCTTTCAATAAGAGCACTTTAATGCTAACTTTTGCAGTGTCTCCATGGTTTAAACTGTTCTTAACAGCTGCCGGCCGGTAAAATCCTTAACAGATACTGGCCATTAACAGTGGTTTTTCATTTCTCTATTTGGTTGCATTATGTCAATGAGACAGTACAGTATTACGAAAAGTAATAAACTATAATATAATGAATTCATTATAAAATATTTGGTTATTTGAAAATTTGTATATTACAAGAGATAATTTACAATTACCGCAAATGTAGCTTTTCCAGAAAAAGCTCTTGCTGTCCTTCCCTGAGCCTTCCTCTTAGGTAGTTCCTGGATCCGCACCTGTTCTCACAATATTCTTGGATTACTAGTTTTGTGTTAATATGTGAGTTAAGGAAAATCACTAATAAAAGTTGGCAATATTGTACACTAATGCCAATTATTGCACTTAGTCACGTAGTTATTGTGTATGTTTATAAGTTACTATTAATAGTGCAGAAGTCAATAATTTTGATAAATATTTAAAATGTGAAGATCAGTTAATATCAAATTTTAAATAAATAAAGTGAGTTTATTGTTATTTTCAGTATTTTACATTCCTCATTGCATTCAGAAATTAATTTTTCTATCTAAAAATAATTAAGGTCAGAAACAAATTCCATGTAGTTCATATTTAACCTTGTACTGTATCTGCTTTTTCCTCTGTGGGGTCTACTTAGATTGCACGCCTTGAATACAAATTGTAATATATTGTAAATACGAATGTGTTGCAGCATCCTGCAGAGTGTAAGTGAAAAATTTTATATAAAAACATCTTATACAAGATATTTAAAATTATATAATATATAAATATAAGCTATTTTGTATCAATAATCACATTCACTATATGTAGCCTCCATTTTGATAGGTATTTCTTCACATTCACTTATGAAACTAGGGTGGAAAAATAAAACACTGACATCTCTGACAAATGTCTCGGAAACATTTACCAGAGTTCGTGTGCAGAATATTTCAAACGAGAATGGGATAAGAAACAGTAAACATGGGGTCATTTCCTAATCTGTGTAACAAAAAGTTAACGTCTCAGTAATAAAAGGAGGAAAATTTGTAGAAATAGTCAGATGCATGTGTGATAAATGCCCTAGGCATACCTACAAGTTTGAGAACATACTGAGAATATCAGAGAAATACACACAAATAAATTATGTTGGGGATACTAAGAGTCCAGATATGGCACTAGGATTAAAAAATTATACATTTGAACACACATGAATATTGAACAAAATGATAGCGAATTGAGTATATTAAATACAACAGGGGAGTGTGCTTATTTCTTTCTTATGTAAACACTCCTCCAATTTTTTTAAAAACAATATGCTGAAGATTCTAAGTAGCTTGAAGATACATAATAATAGAATATACCCAAATTCCATCATTTAATAATGATACACCATCAAGTTCATTTCAGTTTCTGAATTGAATAGTTTAAGCTTAAATTTAAAAAATATCACACATTAAATCCTCAAATTATATATTCCAACTTTAATTTTTGTAATATTTATATTATAAATAATACGAAACTAAAAAATGAATCATTAAAATAATTATAAAAGTATCTTGTTCATTAATTTAATAAATTATAACAAAACATAATATATTAAAATTCACTCAATTTGTTTTATTAAATTATATTTACTTAACTCAAAAAATAGGGATGGGAGTGAAATGAAATGTTCAGCAGAGGAGGATATTTAAGAATGTTGCCGGGGAGTAGGAATAAAGAAACTGCTATAAGATGCCAATGTATTTTTTAATGACCCTTGTAAATAAGAGTATGTAATTCTTTCTCTACAATAATTCTGACGAAAATCAATAATAATACAACAAAGTTTATGGTTTTCAATCAAGACACCAGTCAGAGCCTCTTCACCTTAATGGAATCCATCCAACACACAATATCATTCAGGTATCTTGCAAGTATAATCATAGGAAATCTAGATGCAGGATGTAATGTTTTCAGTACAAATTTTTAAAAAATCTCAACAATTAAAAACCGAGTCACTATCATTTGGTAGACTAATGGTTTTAAAGAAAAAATCTATTAATATAACAATCTCAAAATTGTTTCTGACTTCTGACAATTCATCTACAAATTCCCTGACTTTTCCAGAGCGAAGAAATTCCTTGATTTTCCCAGTTTACCTGAGAGTGTCCACCCTGATAAACAATTTCAAAATGGTGTTGATGAAAGAATGATGACAAAGAGTAAATGTACAGTAGTTGAGCAAGACTTGTGCATTTACGTGCAGAACCTGCTTGAAGACATAAGCATTGGCTGCGATTGGCTAGACATTTGTCAGAACATTGTAACATGTCCAAATAACATGTGCCGATGCGATGGATGGTAGGTTCCCACACAATAACTTTATATTTCTATAACGCAACAACTTTGCCCACTTACCTGCCAGAAACCTGTTCATCACAAAAACACCCAAAGGCAAGTGATATGACAGTTAATAAAAGATGTTAATAAATAAACCAAAAGATGTTTTATTTAAATAAATAAATCTTATGACTTTTTTGTCCTTATGTTTAGTACCCTTTATAGATCCTCACACAACTACAATCCCCCAATAGCCTAAGAGGCCTTTTGTATCTGCGTGCTGACAAGAATGTTGATCTCTGGGACTGAAATCAAACTCCCTCCTTGAAGAGCATTTACGACTTCACTAACTGCAAATTGCTTAGTACCATCTACAGCAGGAAATTTTTATGCTACAGTTACATCTTATTGCGATGAGAAATAACACTGTCTACAATTAATATTGAAAAAGAGAAAGGAAGGAAAGTGTGTTATTGTTTATGGAAGAAAAAAATTGTCCTGGGTGCATAACGTAAGTGTGAACTAGTTCCTGATGTGTGAAAGAACTATTTTAAAGTAGAAGAAGAAAAATGGCACTACAAAAATGGTAGCCAATGTTTGTGAACATGAACTGGACACATAAACGAGTGGAAGAATTATCCCATATTTTCTACACTACTTCTTGGCAAAGAAGACGTTATAACATAGAATATAACGTTAAAACATTAAAGTAAAGTTCTTGAAAAACAGCATGAAAATTAAGAAAACAACAACTAAAAAAAGACAGAAAAGGCAATACAGCTACACAAATGGCTTTTGATACTTATGATAGATTTGTAATAAAAAAATTTCCTTTTGAAGTATGTCAGCTAAAATGCAAGTGAAAATGAACATTATAAAAATGTTTGTACAATATTTTTCTTTGAATCATGAAGATTGAAGATCAGTCTCTTTTTATTAGTTAATGGCTCTTTCTCCACAAGGAGGTACAAAATTGATGAATGGAAACAAAATAATCCTATTTCATTCATGTTGCAAGTAATACACTGTTACTTTCAAATGGTTGAAATGAACAAAACGATATGAAGTAGAAAATTCTCACAATGAAGTGAGATATACTGCCACTATCATCAGCCTTACAACTTAAAATGGGACAACAGATTTTTTCAAATGATAGAAAAGTGTATATTAACACTAATTACTCACTTTTTCATATTTGTTCTCTTATCTTGCACTGGACCCAACTCTTTCACCTTTTCCATTAAGACTTCCTCCAACTTGTTAGCATCTTCATAAATCATAGATCCTTCTTCATTATACTGCCTGCAGTTACTGAACATAAGCTGTCAGAATGAACAGAATAATTTAATATTATTCCCTTTATTTCAAGAAAATGACCTCTACAATTACTTCCAGAATAATTGTTTCAAATAAACACAAATATTAAACAAAAAAAGAGTTGATTCATTTTTACCTATTGGAAAACTACTTTTCATTTGTTTCACATGAAGCTAATAGAAATTCAGTAACTCACCCTGAGATCGGCTAAAAATTCTTCTTCATTGGTGTACTTATCACTTTTTATATTTGACTCAATAGTGAGCATGTCAATGGGCTCAGCAATCACTTGAAAATAATCAGGATATAACTTCTTTGATGGTTTTTCCATGAACATTAAAATAGGCTGACGACCATCTTCTTGCTGCAAAAATATTTTGTCAATTTTAAAAGACAGCAAACTAAATGGAAGAGCATTCATTCTTATGCATATATTGTGAACTTTCAGCTATTATTCAAAATTATTTTCAATCTGCAATGCTATCCTAAATATTAATGTCCCAGAAATATATACAGTACAACTCCTCATAAATGTCGTTTAAGGACCAGGACAGGGTCAGTTAAAAAAGGAGGTTAAATTATCACTAGAACAATACAAAAAATGAAATTAAAAAAATAATAATAAATAATTAAAAACACAACTAAATGAATATATGTGTTATAGCATTTACCTATATCGATTATGAATAGTACACATTGTTATACATACAGTATATATTACATACAATACTATCAAATAGAAAAGTATTACAACTATTAAGAGTAGGCAATGAGTAGTTGAAAACAAGGGTAAAAAGGAGGAACGGGAGTTGAATATGAGGGTTTCTTCAGTACACAATTAAACATCACAATACAGTAATTCTACACTACACCAGAATGGTAAGGTTTAATTTAAAAGGACTGGTTTAAAAATTACAATTAATACAGCTGTATTTATTCACAATATGTCATATTCCCAAGATTGCATTTCCACAGACTCTTGAACCAATGCTCAGATTTAGACAACTTCAAAATATTCTATAAAGGACATAAAATGGCAGCAAAACTCGGCCTCCAAATTTTTAAACAATGCCTAGAAAGTCAAACAGAAACATATTTCATTTAGAAATTCCATGTGTTCAGAAAACATCCAAAAGGCTGACTATTGTCTTCACAAGAAAAACATTGCAGCTTTTTTTAACTTGATCACACTTCATGGGATATTTTTGAAAAGCATTATATATCCCGCTAGGTTCAGAGAAAAAGTGGCCCGATTCCGATGTTTTAAATAAAACTGCTTTTAGAGAAAATTCTTCCATATATAAAATCATCATAAAAAAGGCAATATTCTTACTTCACCAGGTACCACTAGTTATTCTGTACTCTGAACTGTTGTCACTGTAGTTGTGGCTTTTGCCACATAGAAAGCAACTGCAGGTTAACAAAATTAATTTTATTCAATGCTTCACCTTTAGTACGTTACTATTGAAATATAATTTTTGTACATGCATAAAATTTCTTATCACATAGTTTTTTATTGTTTTTCAGTTATTTAAAGGGCTATATGACTCTCCCAAATGTTCCGGACCATCAGAAGTTTTCTTGATGAACCTTATGAAGACAAAAATGAAATTAACAAAGTTGTGGCTTTGCAACCTTATGTACATAAACCTCTTATTTTTCATCATTAATGTAAAGGTCACAAATTGTGTTTATATAACTATGTCAAACTTATCCATTGTACTGACACATTTGTATTGCGTTGTTAGTTTTGAAGAGGTCTGTGCATTTATATGGAAAAAACTCTGGCAGATGTAAGATAATAACTCGAGACACAGCTGTGTTTTAGTTTTTTACTAAATGATTGGGATCCATTAGGTTATTACTCCTTGAATCATAAATACCAACACAACAAATGCATTTAATATTTATGAACAATTTCTAACATCTGTTATTGATATATTTACAAGATATTAATGACCTGTGGACTGTTCCATAAGTAAAATATGTATTATAAAATAATTTTTAACATAAAAATAGACTAATTAAAAAAATTATTTCCATCAACACATCATTTTTCAGAAGAACAAAAGATTTTGAGGGCATTTCAGGGAATCACAAGTATTCTGCAGAGTAAAAGGTGTATGAAATTCTTCAATGATATCCAAAATTAGATAACCATATTCAAAAGATTCTGTCGCTGTCAAAGTGTCAATGTTCACTTAAAATTAATAAATCCTAAACTTTTAAAATTATAACTTAGAATAATTTCTTCTGATAAATTAACCTCATAAAAGTACTAACCAGGAGTAATTTTTTCATGACAAGTAAAGGTAAGATTTCTAAAAATACCTAGCTTCTGTAATCAGCATTTATAAAGTAGAAATCACTTACGAACATATTTTCAGTTCTAATAGGTATTAAAACCCAAATCTCTCTTAAAAATGTATGTAGGGAAGTCCAAAGGTAGAGGGATAATAATACAATTCATTTGATGTAGTTATATTACTTATTCACTCTGTGTGCTAAAGCTGATTGTGCACTGCAGTCCACATTAGATCACCACCTTCTGGATTTTTGCTTTGTATGTCTATTTCTAAAGTATGAAGCACAGTGGCTCACAGAAAACAATAAAAAGGATGTATCATTTTGTACAAACTCCTTGAAAAAAGACAAAATTCCTAGGGAAAAAAAAAGAACTTTTCTGCAACTTTTAGCACTGGTTTACTAGTAAAATTTCACATAATTCATAATTAGTACACTACCATGAATTACCACATTTTTCATTTCTTCTTTAAACCTTTTCTTCTTCATAATTCCTTAGTCGAATTTGAAAGTTCCTGCATACATGTGTTTAATTATTTGGAATGTTAACTTAAGAAATAAATACTATGCAGAAATTTAAGATATTGTAAATAAGTTAAAATGCACGAGAGAGGAGAGAGAGAGAGGAGAGAGAGGAGAGAGAGAGGAGAGAGAGAGGAGAGAGAGAGGAGAGAGAGAGAGGAGAGAGAGGAGAGAGAGGAGAGAGAGGAGAGGGAGAGAGAGAGGAGAGAGACGCGCGCACGCACGCACACATACACCACTGATCTTGCTCACAGATGAAAAGCATGTTATTGTTTCGTTCTCCAATTTGATAATTAATGCCTCTTTTGAATTTCTTTCACAATTTTGTAAAGCAATGAATACTGTTATTTAACAATAAATCAAGATTACTAACCATTTAAATTTACGAAGGTTGCCTTTTATGTTTCGAGATTTGACAACCCTGGTGTTGCAATCTGGCAACTTACAGCTATATCGTAAAGTTGGATGTTTTGATGTTATACGTACCCAGAACGTTTTGATACGAGCGCTACTTGTGTTGTTTACATTAACTTAAAAGATTCATCTTGGCCCATAAATGGAATTAAATCGTGAACATTTTCGTGCGATAATTTTTTACAACTTTCGATGTGGATTAACTCAGCAAACAGTGCATGGATTAATTTAATTTAATTTTTGGCGATGAAGCTCCATCACGGACCAGTTTTATCGATGGTATGGTGAATTCAATCGTGGTCGTAGTTCACTTCAAGACGAATTTCGCGAAGGTCGTCCGAAATCAGTTGTTCCGAAAACCATTGATACCGTGTGTGAACTGAAATTGCAAGATCGCCATGTGATTAATCGTAAGATTGAGACAACCTTAGGCATTAGTGGGACCAGCATACATTCAATATTGCATGAACATTTGACTGCCTGAAAATTTGTTCGCGTTGGATCCCACACAATTTGCTAATCGCTCAAAAAAAGGCTCGTGTCGATTGGTCGAAAAGAAATGCTCAAAAAATACGATCGCCGTGCCTTGAAACACGTCTATGACATCGTGGCAGGTGATAAATCGTGGATTTACGCGAGCCCGAAAGTAAACAGCAGTCGACTGTATGGGTGTTTTTTTAAAGGTGAGCAAAATCAAACCAAAGTTGTTCGTGCACGAAGCACTTCCAAACAGATGGTCGTCTGTTTTTTCGGAAAAACTGGACATGTCGCAACCGTACCACAAGAGCAACGCAGAACAGTCAATTCCGAGTGGTACACGATTTGTTTGCCAGCTGTCTTCCAAGAAATCAGGAAAACCAACCGCCGAAGACGGATCACTCTTCACCACGACAATGCGAGCTCTCACACATCGTCTCAAACTGCATATTTGAGCACCCAAAACATCGATTTGAAGAGTCAACCGCCGTATAATCCTGACTTGGCACCGAATGACTTCTTTTTATTCCCGTACGTAAAATACAAACTGAGAGGTCAACATTTTTCGACACCTGAAGAAGCGGTTGCTGCATTCAGAATGCACGTTTTGGAGATACCGCAATCAGAGTGGCAATTGGTTCAAACGCATGCAAAAGTGTATAGATCTTCATGGGGAATATTTTGAAAAACAATAAAGTGATTGTCGATGATTAATATTTGTTGTTTTCTAATCCTGAAATATAAAAGGCAACCCTCGTACTTTTACCCCAACTTTCCAAGGCACAGTAAGTTAGTAACTACAGTGATTGATCCAAATGTAACAGTAGAAAAAATATAATCACGGCCAAAAGTAACAGACTGGTGTGGAATGACAACTACCAGCTGAATCAGTCCACACGTGCTACGTGACACCAAGAATAGTGAACGATATTTGGAGATGCCTGTGATTCAAGAATGGGAAAATGGATGGGAATTGCTGTTAATGCAAGATGGAGACCCACTTCACAATTTCAGAGAGAGCATGGCATGACAACTTCTTCCTTTGGAGATGGATGGACTAAGGAACATGTCTACAAGATAAAAACCAAGGAATCCAACCAGTTTTGAACACAATATCCATGATGTGTTTGCAAATGTCCCAGTTTGGATGCTACGAAGCGCGGTGGAGTCTCTTCCTAAAAGATTCAGGCTTTGTGGAAATTGCAGATCCTTACGTTGAAAATGGTATGCCTGAACAACGTATTCAATGGCAATAAAACATTGCTTTGTTGTTTACTTTGTGAATTATTCATGATTACAAATAGATATTGACTTTACAACCACCCAGTAGTTGTGTATATCATTTAGGTACTCAATGGCCTAAGGATGGAGAAACAATTCTGAGGCCACATGCATCCATATTAAGCAGGTAACAATAAAGCTTTGGCCCTGGAAGGGGGGGACAGCCCCAAACCTGCTCTCAATATTAAGACACAAAATTTTACATGCAGGGACAATGTTTCAGGGGAAACAAGGGAGTCCAGGGCAGTTTTCCCACAATACAATTATTTTAAAAATTGTTTTGAGAGATGGATGATGAAGACTCAACACAATTTAAAGGATAGGCGAGAACTGGTTTGGATTTTCAGATTCCCAAGTAACATGGTT